AACACACACACACACAGACAACCTCTCGTCAATATGCGTTTTTCGCATTGCATTGCTGCAAAAAACGCGTAAAAACCAGTACTAGTGACAAAATATAGGCAAAAAGTCAAACTCCCCTCCCTATTCAGCTTGCTTCAAACACACACACAGACAACCTCTCGTCAATATGCGTTTTTCGCATTGCATCTAAAAAACGCATACGCACACACAGACACATACACACACAGACAACCTCTCGTCAATATGCGTTTTTCGCATTGCATTGCTGCAAAAAACGCATAAAAACACACAGACAACCTCTCGTCAATATGCGTTTTTTGCATTGCATTGCTGCAAAAAACGCATAAAAAGGGATCTCGAATGCCGCATAAGTGAAATTAGAAATAAATCGCTGTAAAAGTATCGATTTGAAAGAAATCGACTCGGCCGTTACTCTAGCATCTCTGCCAACGCTATTTCGCGGCGAGACTCACCAAACACGTTACTATAAAACAGAAAATATATAAGAAATAAGGAAGAAGATTATTAAAACTTTAAAAAACAGCAGGCCCACCCTGAAAACCACTGTATGGATATCCCATCTCAGTAGTATCACTGGAACACCACATTCAGCCTTTGCGGACATCGCAACCTACCGCCTGATTCGGCCGGAAACGGTTGAATTTTAACACTCGCCCACAACCCTTAAACCGGCTTGGTTCGTCCCGACCGTCACTGAGAGGCCCACTCGTTTCCCTGGTAACGCTATTTTACAGCAACACTCGCAGGCAGTGCTTGGCATTTTGACAGGGAGCGCTGGGTAGATTTACTTGAGCTTACTTGCGCCACGACTTTGGGCACTTCAAAGATATTTGTAGCAAAGCGGTTGTTTCGCTTAGTAGCCATGCTACAAGACTGCAAATTTGCAAGGGTATTTTACATTCATGTGTGGTCTTAATTCGGACTAATTATCTGCATGCGGACATGACAAATACTCAATTTTATTGCAAAGTTAAAAGCGAGTGAATTTTGAGTATTTCATAATTTTTTTGGGTATTTTCAAAAAGTTTACATTTTTCGATGAATGACGGAAAGACCGGTCTTCATG